GCGAGGAGTGGGGCGGCTGGGCCGTGCGGCGGGGCCGTGCCGGGCGGCGTGGGGTCAGACGGGCCCGACCAGCCCGACCCGCCGCCGGGCCCGGCAGCCACTGGCACCCTTATCAAGCCGGGGTAGGCAACCCGCCGCTGTGGCCTGTGCAGCGCGCGCCGCGGCGGCGTACCTCCCAGGGGCTCCGCGTGAGATGCCGCTACCTCAGCCGCTGCCGCCGCCACTGCCGCTTCTTATGCTGCTCGCCAGAAGGGCCCTAATTCGACGAGTTCACTGAAAATGCGAGTATGTGAATGTCGCTCACCTGCAGGTGAGCGACATTCGCACACTTGCATTTCCAGTGTTGGCCTGTGAACGGCCTAAAAAAAAGGAAAATATTCATTTTTTCTTTGTGATCGTACCGCCCCTCCCAACCTCCGTTTCCTCTCCATATGGGCTTTGCCAGGATTCGCCGTAGGCGTTTAGTCCTTTAAAAAAATGCCGAGGGCTGGTAACAAGAACATTTTAAGGGCACGACCAAATAGTTAAGGGTTAGGATACAACATTTGCTTGAAATGGAACAGTCCCTGCCTTTTGTAAAAGAAATGTCTGCCGTCTTTAACACAGTGTGTGTGTAGGGGGAAAGAAAAGTGGAAAGGGTAAGACGGCGTCAGAGAAAGAAAGAAAGAGGAAGAGAGCAGCGAAAGTGCTGCTCTCGCGGAGCGCGGAGCTAATTCCTTTGCTTTTGTTCCCGTCTTAGCCGTCAGCCCCGCCCTCACCTCGCACACATGGGGATGGCTTAGAGGGGCGGATGCGGGAGGTTATGAAGGCGTGGCCTATGGCGGGCCGGAGGTGGAGGTGTTTGTCGCGGGGGGAAGGAGGAAGGGTGGCTGCCTCCCCTCCCGGTCGCGGAGCTCGCAGACTTTGCGAAATGAATATGATTTTGCACTCCCCCGCTTCCGCCACTTCTGCCAGCTTTGAGACGGAGCGAGGCTGCGGGGGGTTCCTCCAGCCCCGCGCAGAGTGCGCTGCGCTGGCAGGTAAAGATTGCCTTTCCCTTGAGCAAACTGTGTTTGTGTATTCGCCGTTTATTATTTTTGTTCAAAGGGAGAGAGTACTTTGTTGGTTCGGACCGTTTTTTTACAAGAATATATATTTTGCAGAAAAAATTGTTGCAGAATAAGCCGACAGGAATCTGACCCGGTGTGTGGCTGTGATCCATACCGATTCGAAGCCCCTCAAGTTACTGTGTCCGTTGCGGCACCACACAACGTGCGCGCGCGCACGCACGCACGCACGCGCACACACACACACACACACACACACACACACACACACACACACACACACACACTCTCTCTCTCTCTCTC